TCCTTCTCGTGATAAATTGCATTCACAATATATGCTGGTTGTTTTGTTGCGAATTTATGATTGTTTCAAACAGTTAGAAGATTCTAACTTTAAAATTCGTATTCATTGCACGGTCGTTTGTGGACATTCTCATTTAAAAAAGGCACAAATGTGATCTTAGTGTGATACATTTGTTTGGCAGCAAAGGGAATGAACAAACGAACATTTTCAAAACTAGTTTCAAGGGAATCCATCTTACTATTATTTTTATTATTATTCGTAAAAATGATAACGATATATACCTTTCTTATAACTACACTTTATGTCACCGAACTCAGTAGTGCTTTGGTACGATGACATTATTGTGCCAACGGAACCAATGGTGAATTGTCGTCGGTCGGATATTTGGCCTAGAATTTTTATGCAAATAATGATTCGATAATCACACTTCTTATCTTGGTGTTGAGTACAAGTACACAGTAAAAGTTGAGGGTATGTGATCTGTTTTACCCTAACGCAATCCTTCAATTGAATCTATCCAGTGTGTAAATCCTCCACACAAATCTACTTTGTAATCATTGGGCTTTTTTAAACTCGAAAATATGTCCGAACATGAACATAGTTGTAACTTTATTGTAAAATACGTGTGTGTTGTCATTGCAAGAAGACAAATAGAGGTGTAAATTTACTAAAACATATGCATGGGCCATCACACTATGATTATGTGATTGCGTCATTTATACCATATTTCTTACCGTCAACGTGTTTTATTTGCGCGTCGTAAACTAGCGAAACCAACAACTTATGCGCCGTATGTATTAAGGGTGGTTTTACGACGATTTAACAAATCGAAGGGTAGCTTTCGAGGGGATTACGTTTTCGAGCGATGCTTAAAATAGTCGTAGTTAATAGTTTGGCTACTGCATAAACACACCGTACATGTAGACGAGTTGTAACGTGTTCCACACATTGAAACAAACAGACAATCTAGGTCGGGTCGTCATATATTTGAAACTGGCACCGCTTTGTAGTTCGCTTACAATATGCATATGGTTGTGTTTAATACATACACTCGCTCACTATTTAAAGACGATGATAATGTGTACGCTTGGGACGCTTTTACATTCCAGTGCCTGGAGATGAGCTATCATTGGATACAGTCGACATACAGTCATGGAGATGAGCGAGATTATAGAGCTATCATTGGATACAGTCGACATACAGTCATGGAGATGAGCGAGATTATATAGCTATCATTGGATACAGTCGACATATTTGCCACACAACCATATTGCCCTGACACTGTAATTGATTTCTAATTATGGGGGATGTTTTCAATTATATGCAAATTAACTAATTGCCGTATGCGTGTTCAGAGACAAGTAGAATTACTTCGTATTAAGATGTAGATATGATCGCGGATATTCAGAGTCCGCTCACTGCTGCGTTGTTTTGCGATGACTGGCGTTTGAAGGCTTTGCACTTAAACACAGGCCACACAAATCAAGGTCGGAATAAGCAAATGGATGTCAGGATAGTTTTATAAGTTATTTTTTCATTCCATTGAGATGTTGACGTCCAGTGGATCACAGAGCTTGATTTAATTCTTTTCATTAGGCACGGTTAATTAAGCTCTCCATGGGTACTAGGTATAATGGCTTCTCTGTCACACAACTATATATACTCAAAGCTGACCTCCCATGTGATCACGCAGAGTACTCAGTAATCATTGCTCGCAATCGGTGTATTCAATTGCACAATTTCATTTTCCTTATCTCTGTTGTCGACTAAGTCGAGACAGAGCGGAGCTATTACTGTTACTGATTGTCCATCGGCGTCAATTGCACCGGGGTTCGTCATCATCATCAGAGTCAGCGTTCGAAAAGATAGCCAACATTCGGACGCTCTGAAAACTTAACTGAAAAAATATATATTTCCAGCAATTCGCGTAACTTCAGATAACTCTTAAATTCGAATCAAAAAAACTTTGAATGATTTTAGAGTGCAGCTTTAAATTTTGTTACGTCATATACATTCAACTTTCTATGACGTATGTGAAGGCTTAGCTGTGTAGGATGATGTAAACAAAGACGAATCACCTGATTACTCAGTTTGAGATGTATAACTCCGCCAATCTCGAATCAAATGTTTTGCAGTTAATATAAAAATTCCCAGATTTCAAAAACTTGTTTTTGCTTGTGATGACTTAATGTTTAAACTTTGAAACGCTCACAATGTGATGTTTATGTTTATTCTGTTTAATTACATATACGAGCTGCACTACCTTGTTATTTGACGCAGTGCTTGGATAATTATTCGTGTGGTCAAAAACGTGCGCGAACGCTTGGCACGGGCTAAGAAACGCTAAGTACGGGTTAAAGCGAATCCGTTTTCAAGGTCCGGTGCAGATTCTTAGCACGGGCTGACGAAGTATGCATGAACGCTTAGCTAAGCACCAAAAACGACATTGTATTCAATGTCCATTTGGTGGTTATACTATTATATTCATAACTATTCATTTCGGTATGCCATTTCCGACATGAAAATCAACGCGAGCACATCTAGGGACATTGTTATCGAGAGAAAAATGAACTGATGATGACAGTACTACTTTCTGTTATTTTCAAATCTGTACTTTCTAAATGTGAATATATATACTTTGTGTTTATTCACGGTACTGTACTGAGTGAGCATACTGTAAAACATATCTTTTTAGCGAATTTAGCGAGAGAACTGATTCGCCAATTCAAGATGTCGCTAATGACTTTATTACAAATTCAAAATGACCAAGGCTTGGGGATTTGTATACAGTAATCCGGAACATAGAAAAATCCGAGGCGTTTTCTAATTACACTTGACAGTTTTTCTTTGTTTTTATGGAGGCGATAACTGCCCATTTATTTTGGCACGCAATAGACAAGTATTGTGAAAACAGAAAATCAACAATGACAAGAGAAATTCGCTAAATCAACATTTCGCTATTACGTCATTTTACCACAATTCGCTAAAAATAAAATTACATGTCGCATTTTCAACATGTTTTACAGTAGTTACAGAGACTGAAGATTTGTATATTCATAACAAGTTTGAATGTTCCTTCGCAATTGGGTCTAGCCGAAATTCATATTAGCCTAAATCTTAGCACGTACTTGGTGTAGCCCGAACACGACTATATGTACCGCCGATGATACGATGATACTGTGACTCCACATTAAATTGTCCTGCCATATATAATGAAATGAAAATGTAATAGATCTGAGTGCATATATCACGATATAACGGGGGTCATTATCTGACCTTTCCTGAGAGTATGCGTTTCACGTTTAAATATTAAATAGATTTGAAATATGGTTAAGACATTCGACTGATTCTAATATGGCAGATTACCTCTCGCAGTTCAGTGAGGATGAACACATAGACAGAGACAGATCGATAACTAGATTAAATCGCTTGGTGAATTAAATAGCTGAAACAATTATATTAAATACTTCCAAGAGTTCAATCACCTTTGTATGTATGCATGTAAAGCATGTTAGATGTGACCCGAGTGATTCTGTGTGAGGGAGGAGTTAGTGAGTGAATGGTGTTCTGTAAACATATTATCTTCAGTAGTATACGTTAGTAACGTTGCTGCTGATGACTGCATCTGGCGTTCATTATAGCTGGATATACTACCACTTTCCACAAACCTTACTTTATTGGTTTCAATTGACATCATCATTAAAAGAAACGTCTCATGGTCACATCACAGTTATTATAATAAATAAAAACGACTATTCTAATGACGCCTGAATATATTTGGTATTGCAACAGGGTGATCTAAATAATTGGACAAAATTCGGTTATAATGTTTAATGAGATTTCCATGAATCGTGAGGGCATATTTTGACATATATTGATTTTGATTTGCCCTGGGTGCGGATTCGAACAGGCAGCCTCTATAATATGTCACCAACGCTGCAGTGGACTGATCGGGTTAACTGGTGTGTAGGAGGAAGGGGATATTGTTTTTAATGATGCCTCCAAGCTTTGAGTTTTGTGACTGCTTAATTAATGCCCATCATAGCGTGTGGCCCAATCGTGACTGCACGGGAACCGTACGGACTGCACGCAAATAGTGACCTGACCTGAACTCAGAATTGGCGTTGTATACAGTATAACATGGACTATATCTACTTGGAAAAGAACATACCCATTTAATAATATTTACATTAAAACCTGCGGCATATCTGCCTTGACGCGGTGATGACATCATGACAGGGTCCTTTGTAATATTGATTAACAAGGCTAGCACGCATGAATAATCAAGCTGCTGCTGTACTGCGCTGTGCTGTGCGACGTGACATAACTACGCGCTGTTTCGCTCCATACTTTCTCATTTACAAACGTGTCCGCAACAGACACGCTAACACCGCCACGTACAAAATCAAAACACTAGTCAATGCGAAACTACTTAGACTGTGCCTGATTGGCTATCCAACCCTAACACCTAATAGTCGAACCAATCAGAGAGCCGCTTGTTTGTTGACAGATTTTGTTTTGTAAAGTTTCGGCTCAACTGCGAAATTCTTCACAATAAAGCGTCGCAAAAAAAAACACAAAAAAACAGAAGCCATGAAAACGAGACTTACTAATGTGAGGCGGGTTTAATACTACATATTCTGACATTCAAACTAGAAATAGAAGCGGAGAAAACGAGGCTTGTGAATTACCAATGTGTGGCAGGTTGAATACTACCTAGTCTGTCGAGTGTTAGATGCATAGGCAAGTTATCCCGTGAATAAAATGATTTTCAAATACAAATAAACTAATCTGTTGATGTCTGTTGGCAGTGTTATATGTTGCCATGGATACTTTCTTTTTCTGGTTGGATATCCTATATCGAATTAATGAACTGAAACAATGTCAGAACATAACACGGGTTTTTGAAGTAACTGCGTGTAATGGTCACATTTGCAGATTACATAACATTCTCAAGATTATAATGATTTATCATAATAATAATTACTTCTTCTTCTCAGTGCGATATGGCTGAAGGTACAAAGGCGTTTTTTGAAGCTGTTGCGGAAGGACCGCCTAAAGTAGCATTATTTGGCGGCATATGTGAAAATGTCACTGCACCCATTGCAGAAACAGTGGCATGGTGGAACTTGATACAGGTAGGTGATACTGTGATGACGTAATTGTTATACTCGTTGAAAATTGCAGCTGTTGTACACTTAAACGCCACTGAGTTTGACGTCATATAAAAAGCAGACTTACGGATGGACTACCTGCATTATGTTTTGACACACAATAGCATAGATAATATAATGTTTACCATTGTCATAGTTCCTTACTGGTGGTAATCCACGTATCTATTTAACTCACCTGCCATGTTGTTTTCGTACATGAGATACCAATTTTCGTGTGAATGAATGATTTAACAAATCGGGCTTCTGCTCTTTGTAATTCGTCCGCCTGTGGTAACTATTTTGACTACCACACTGTTATGATGAAAAGAAATTGTTGGTATGTCGGTGTAGTGTACATATCATATTATTTTTAAAGTGATAAAAATGTATTCGTTTAAAAATTGGAATACCACAAAACTTTGACTTTTATATGAATTATTGTATGTCTCTGTTTAGTGGAATGCAATTTAACCGGCACTGATCGACAATGACCGGCAATGATCGGCAATAACCGGCACTGATCGAAAGTAACCGGCAATGATCGGAAATAACCGGCACTGCTCAGCAATAACCGGCAATGATCGGCAATTACTGGCTTTTCAGGAAATGCGTGTGTCGTTTAGCCACTGATGCTGACACATAAATGAGGTACAATCGGCGATGAACTGAATTTAAACCTGGACATGAAGAGTTACTTATAATCGCTTAATCAGAATCATGTCATCACCGACATCAGTTTCTGTCCTGCAACTCAGTCATTATATGTAATGCATGTGTTGACAATAACAGTATAGCGAATCAGTGTACATGAAGTCGGTGAAGTATAGTTTATTTTGGAGTTGGCTCTTCTGTTTACTGTGAGATAATATCGTGTTATTTCGTCTCCGTTAAGGTTAGCACTTGATGAAACGAACGGGTTGGAACCCAGCTTGCCGTTCAATTCGTCATTGAATGAGCCCGACAGACTGGACGTTATAATAAGGTGATTTCAGCCGAATTGTACATCAAATGAACATATTACTATGTCATAGAACGCAATGAAAAATGATACACTAAACACACAGCGGTCAAATGTCATCACATTAAAACTCATTAATTAAATTGCAATTTTGTTGAGATATTTGGATTTCACCCGAGAAAAACGTTTAGATAGGGAGTTTTTAACATAGAAATTAACACACGGAGCAGAAAAATAAAACAATATTGTCTCTATTCTTGTTTCTCTGAAGGCTTGTGTTGCTTTGTGAGTTACAGGGTATAGCCACATCGCCAAGATCGGTTTTTCAAAAATGAGATAGCCAAAGATAGCCAGATATAAATGCTATCTATGATATGAAACAAATAAACAGAACTCGACTTAGTAGTAACATGTTATTGGAACTCAAATTCAATGATTCGCCATTGGCCTAAATATATAAATTATGCAAAAACTGTCCTACTCTGATGATGAGAAATTAATTATTTAACTATCATCAATATATATATATATATTTATATATGTAATGTGATATCAAGTTCTTCCATTGATTTCAGTGAATAATTGGAATTATATATGTAATAAATGCGTCACAATGTGTTTTGCATTTGCACTTCTGTTTGCGTTGTTATTGGGTAACCTACATAATCATTTTATTTCAGCTGCCGTTAACACCTGGATGTCACATGAAACAAATAATTGATATAGACTCTTTATTTGCAGCTATCGTACGCAAACACGGAACCTTTTTTATCAGAACGAGAGAAGTACCCGACGTTCTTTCGAACCATTCCGTCTCTGACAGATTTTAACCCTGCTAAATTGCAACTAATGGAATATTTTAACTGGACACATGTTGCAACCTTACATCAGGACACGCCACAGTTTGCATTTGTAAGTGAAACATTCGCTGTAACAGTTCGCAGTACGAGTCTCCTTACACCGGTCCTATATATACGCGCCCTCTAGTGACGACTCCGATTTACGTCAAAGAAGCGTATTGTCGCTAGATAGCGCGACTTGCAGAGAAGACGGTATACTGTTAGGTTTCAGTTAAAATTTGTCTGAATTCTTAATTTGGTCTGTCAGCAAGATATAAATACCAAATTAGTAGATTGCTTCAGCAAAACTTGTTGCTAATTAAACCGGATGCACTCTATCGCCCATCATTCAATAGTACGGGACAATAGTGCGAAACGTCGTAATTGATGTCTCGCGATAACTACGCCAGCTCACTCGTGTATGTTTTGTCATATAGGCGCAAAATAAGCTGTCCAGCAGCATAGACGGTTCCGAGAAGAAAATAATCGAAATGAAGAGCTTTGCCGATGATCCCACAAATGCAGTATCATCCATCAAGGTAAGTCATTTCCATGGTAATCCTGTCCAAAATCATACCACGTGATTAAATTCTCAAGTCCGTAACACTTGACCTTGGTGTATTCGGTTTTTTTACAGGAGTCTGGAGCAAGAATTATTCTGGGATCCTTTGATCAGAAAATGGCGCTAGATGTTTTCTGCAAGGTAAGTACATGCATTGGGTAGAAAACTTAACACTATCTATCGTCAGTAATTTGTAAAGGTGAGAATCCATATGGACGAAAATCATATATATTCTCTGCCGCGGATATATTACGGTGGATTGTTTTGAAAGTTTGCATGGCAAATACGACAGTTTATCATGAAATGCCATGATCTAAGTTGTCTGTCTTCAGGCTTACAGAGAAGAACTATATGGCAGAAAGTATGTATGGATTATTCCGGGTTGGTACGAAGAAAATTGGTGGAACGTTACTAACATACCGGGTGGGTGTTCTTCCGGCGATATTCTGCAAGCACTTGAGGGGTCTCTGGCCACGAATAGCCTGCCCCTGAGTACTAAAGCACAGGAAACAGTGTCTGGTTTGGTAAGTTGTCGGCCTTATTCAAATACTGAAGAATAGTAAACAACGCGTCTTTTATTAGTGCAATATGACGTTCTTAACTCAGGTCTTTGACTCATTTTTATTAGAGATTTAGATATTAGAGACTTCGAAGCTTTGTATTTTTTTATAATGACATATAGTCGAATTGTCCGTGATCCGATCTATTAATTTAAAGTCTAGTTTGAGTCATTTTACATATTTATGAAGGGATAGATTGTACAATGTTATTGTGTCCGTATTCAGTTTCACCGTGAAATAACATACATTTTTATCAAAAACAACGCCAGACCACCTTATCTAAGAATACATGTTTTGAGGTTGTTTCGGTATCACCTGGAACTTTTGTCCGGCTACGTCAACATGTTGACTTCTTCGTAGCTAATCGTGCAGTGTAATAATCACTAAAATCGTCCTCTAAATATCAATCACGCCTTTGCATAATTAAATCATAAAACTTGCAATAATCTGGCTCATTTGTTCGTATTAGTGTATGCAAGAGACAGTAACGATCTTGGACTAACTGAGAACGAGCTTACTACGTAATCATAGTTAGGTAATAAAATCCGCGTTAAGCATTAATCTAACCCATATAAAAACACAAGGAAGTTTTTCCAACAAAGATAAAAATAAACTGAATTAGATGGTAGAGGGTTGACTAGGGAAGGAGAACGTCAGTACAACTAATTAAAATAATGTCAAATTTCACAGTAAAACCTGGTTACTGCTTAAGTAAATGTGATCGAATACGTTCATAATGAATTCGAGTTCTCAGTAGATTCAACTTCGTGTCGTTTATAGGGGATTGCCTACTTCGTATCACGTAGACACCCCCTAACTTGTTACTATATATGCCACTTGTTTCAGCATGTAGATAGAAGGTAAATTCCGCGTGAAGACCAAATAAACATAACTACAGCGATTGTTAGTCGAGCGAAGAAAATAAACAAACATGACAGATGCTGGGCACTCAGAAACAACATCACAGTCGAAATGTGAACCCGTGCAAGTCAGTCTGTGTATCAGATGGCTCTGCGATTTATTCGCCAGTGGTCATAGCCCGGGTACTCCTAACAAGTAATTATGTCCAAGTAATGTTTGATCATTTTGTTTAATATTTCATTGTGAACGAAAAGCACAATGTTTGACAGGACATGAAAAAATTACCTCTTTTGATGACAGACTTACGAGGTTAATGCATCTAATAGTTGTGACTGCTGTCTTCATAAAACGCGCAATTAAAATGCTTGATCATGTACATGTATTGTGAATCACCTAACTCTATACTTCCCAAAATGTTAATCCATGTTAATGTCGATGTTAGGCTTGAAATTTGCACGACTTAAATGGACCTTTTACAGTAGGTCGCGCCCCCTAGAGTTGATACTTTTTGGTGACGTAAATGGGTCACGTGTATGAAGGGCGTTCACCGCGCTGCTATTGTTTAGATCTGCCGTCAATAACAATAAACGATATTTATATATTGTGAATGACGAACGACTACAGAACTTTTGTATAGTTCAATTATATGTTAAGTTATATTTATTTTGGTGAATATGTGAAAGTCATGATTGACCAAGTGTAAGTCTAATAACATCATAACTATGACTGACGTAATGTGTAGAATTACGTCACTTCCTTTTGATACGAATGACTGCTTGTTGTGAAAGGTTGAAATAATATAACACTACTCATGCAAGCATTTATTACAGACACCATCAGAGTACAAGCAGCAGTATGACAACATTATTGGTAACAACTCTACTCCCTTTCATGGATATGCGTACGATGGAGTCTGGGTAATAGCTTTGGCCCTGGACAAACTGCTGAGACGAACAGACAACATTTCGTCGTTGTCCAATTACACATACGATAACAAAGAAGTTTTTAAGCAGTTGTTTGATGCAATGAATGAGACTGATTTCTTTGGCGTCACAGTATGTATATTTCAACGTCATATGTGACCTCTTAAATTACATTTTAATAGCAGTGTACATACAGACTATACAAATGCGCATGCGCGTTGAATTACTTGTTTTCGCAATTGTGTAGTTTATTTATTTATATATTATAGTTATTTTATTCAAGCATGGTGCACATTTTACTGCTTCGGATTTAGGACTGCTCATATTATAAGGTCGCACGTGACGTCATACATTCAAATCCCGGTATTGAATACCACTTATAGTACATGTTACCTTTAAGGGTGGGTATCGTCGCACAGTGCGTGTTCGAACTTCGTGTAAACAAACAATGTATTTTCCATGCGTTTTATACATCGCTATGGAATCCATATTCAACACGACACAGCGTGGCCCAGAAATAAGACAAAACGAATGTTTCAATGCATACAGGCTCATACTCATATTACCAGTCTGAGATACACCTAAAAGTATATGAAACGTGACTATCCCTATGACGAGATGCGCAATCGCATTATACTCACTTCGGTAGCTGCGGACGTACACTATTTCGCGTGATTATGTTAGAGGACGTAGTGATATCATGGTAACACAGTGTATCCCATAATGAAACACAATGAAGTGTGTATTGTACCACAATTGATGAAAACGACATTCATATGAAAACATTGTGATCGACCATACTGTTATTGGTTGTTATCTACGCACTTATTTACTACTCTGTTCTCGTTTACCAAGGGGCCAGTAAAATTCAAAAATGGTGATCGTCTTGGTACAGTTGTGCTTGAGCAATTTCAAGGTAAATTCACTTTACGCATGCGTAGTTAAAAAGCGCACCCATTCGCTACCATCGGTCCCGCCCGCCCAAGAGTACCCTCTGAGTCGAACACTATCTTCATGCCTTACAGTCCCCCTGGCCTATTGGTTGTTTCACATCTAAGATGCGTTTCAAGCAAGGGCCTTTTGCATTTCGCAAACGCATTGCAGCGTCTGATTACATAATTTTAGCTGAAAAGAATATTAGGCCGTAGGGTTTGTCAACCGTCTAGCCTTACACTACGACAAGGTTACTTACAATTGTTTGTAAGCCACTTACTGAATTTAGGTTGCAATGTATTAACATCTGAGCCGAAAGTGAAGATCTCGCTAAATAGAGTACGTGTAAGGGTGCCAAAGTGTACCATTTATATAACTGTTTGGTCTTTTTGCATTTGCATCTAAATATCTATTAAGAATAATATTGTTTTAAGTCGTAGCAAAACACACTACTAACTTCATAATACCACGAAAGTATTTCTCGAAATATTCCCTTGAAATAAATAATAGTAAACATTTTTTCCCGTTTTGTATTTTCAGCTGGAAGGCAAGTTAAAATTGGCGAGTACTATGCACATACTGACACTATTAACGTGACAGAGAATTCTATCATATGGCAAGGTAGTTAATTTGTACTTACCTATTCACTCATGTATAACGTAGGCTTATTAAAGTAATAGTCACGTACACAGTATTCGCCTCCGCCTCGTTCTCGTGATTTTTTAAAACAAAGGCTAAGCTACCTGGACAAGAGCGTGATTTAGTTACTTCGATAAAATGTCAAATGCAACGACCAGAAGATTAACGAGATTGCGAATTTAATCTTCTCACAGCTTCACGATTGTGTTTTATTTTAATCATACTAATGTGTGTAACTGTGTTTATTGTGATCATCCGATACACGTCATTAATTTATTTTATGCTACACGTGTACGTCTACACTATATTGGTTCGCTTTCCGGCCTCTCAACAAAACACACTGGTCTTCCTAATCGCGGGTATAGTGATCAGACCCACGGTGTCATATGCGTATGTGTTAGTAAATAACGGCCAGTCACCAGTCGCAGAAACAAGCGCTTCATCCATGGAGAACTATGTTTGTATCCACTCTGCTTTTACCGAAATCTTACCGAGTCTTATAATTACGTGCAATTTGCAACGATCAAGTAACCAAAGGAACAGGTTAATTGTACACATTCCGTCCACAGCTATTATGTCTTCCGGTTTCATACAGTGAAAAGATTTATATTCGGAACTAAATTCCCCGGGATCAACTTGAGTCTTTAAACAACATTAGTTGTTTGTTCTTTTGTTCAATTTTAAATATTCAATTTTAGAGGGTATAATTGCTTACTATGAAACAGAGTATTTCCAACATCAAAATAAATTCTACGAATTCAGTACCAAATATTTTATGATCTCGACAGGGGGACTGCCACCATTGGACCTTCAAATTGTGCACAGGATTCCCGCTGACGTGTCTCTCGTTTTATTCGCCACAATGTGTTGTTTCAGTTACATTGGGATCATGGTGGCGATGGTCTTCCTGTTTTTTAATATGAGATTCAGAAAACACAGGTATGAATACAGTCTAGTGGTTGATATCCCAATTTGCATATAATTTTAATATAATAGCTTAACAATATACCGAGATTATAATCCGAATCTAAACTCACAAATACGGATTTAAACATATTCTTATTTGTAGTTAATATATAGTTATCGTTAAAGAGTGATTTTGAAGAGTGTGACGCAAACAGAAATGGGTCATTTGTTTCTTTTCATTGTCCAATCATGTACTAGTCGGTACAAATTACGCAATAATATATTCTGTGTTGCTTCAAGTTATTGAGAATGGCAGGAACAACATTAGTGACACGACAAAATACAAACTTCAAGAAACATAATAAACGATTGTAAAGGCCGTGTTTTAGGCATGCATGTAAATGAAGGACCTGTATTTAGACTGAATAGTGGCGACAAGATTAATAGCTCACGTGTGTTCACGTTCCAGTATTATGCAAATGTTTTCTCACGGCGCTTATGCCGGTTATAACCTGCAACATGGGAAACTTGAAAGCGAAATTGTGGTTGTAGTTAATAAAAGTAAAATAGAACTTAGTTGCCTGACAGTAAGTTTACTGATCACGTGACATGAACTTAGAGTGAAATTCTATTTAATAGAGCGCCATCACACGACCATGATCGTACACGTGTGGGCGCCACGACCGAGCTTTACTTTTTTCTTATCCATGCAGGTATATTAAGATGTCAAGTCCGTACATTAATAATCTGATTATAATTGGTGGTCTTCTATGTTATGCGTCTGTGTTTTTTTCGGGATCACATAGTTCATATCGTTCAGACAAGGCTTTTAATCTGTTATGTGGGGTGAGTATTGCTCTTTACTGTGCGTGTTAATGTCGTGTAAAGTTCCTAAACTTGCCGACTTCAGGCGAAATACACAATCCACTAATGCGTACAGATTGCAATTCCGTCATTTACTATCATGGCGTGTTTTACTCACAGTTGAGGGCGTGGTCACTGGCATTGGGTTTCACATTGTCGTTTGGTGCCATGTTCGCAAAGACGTGGAGAGTGTACAGTATTTTCACAGACATAAGACTGAAAAGGAAGGTGGGTCGCTATTTGTATGAAACAGTTTATTCAAATAAAATAGAACACTGACCCAAGTGTATATATCATATACACACTCTATTTCCTACACGTTGTACGTGGAAATTCACATGCATGTCCTTTGAAAACATATTCCCAAGGTTTGTTACCCATGTTTTACCCCTCCGTTCAGGCTATTGTAACACTAGAAGTTAGCGATCGAGAGAAATAATACAGCGGAGTATGTGTACTATCAAATGCGTACATACAAACACGCGCTGTAACACCCAAACACACAGGGGTGTGACACGAATGCAGTTCAAAGCGTCGGTGTCGTTTTGATCTACAGTCATCTGTCAATAAAGATTATGTTTTGGAAAAAAAATCAGATGACGAACGACTACACATTCAAACACAGATGTCTATTTAAATGATAATGAATCGTTCACACCAATGTACGTCATTTTGACGTCACAGAAGCGCCCGTCACTAGAGGGCGTGACACTATAGGAATGGTGTATTGAAAACACATCATTGCCGACTCATAATTTAACTTAAATGAATTCCATTTTATTTATATTTTTAACATGATGTCTAGGTGATAAGGGATGCGAAATTATTTACAATAGTTGGCACATTGGCGTTTATTGATTTGATAATTCTTATCTCCTGGGGCATCGTTGACCCTCTGGTAAGGCAAGAACAGGAAGGAACGGCGAAGGTAGGTTGCACGTAATTCGTTATGTTCTATATATGGGCATATGGCTGCCATGTAGAGAATTGTGTCATTTACGACAATATTAGGCGTAATTATAATAATAATAATTATAATAAGACGATTTCAATATTTTGTACTCAACCCATGATTGGCTACGAGAAATATATGAAAATATATTTGTTATGAAAATATATATATAATATATATATATATATATATATATATATATAATAACGCTAACTTTGAGTGTGTTTTGTTGAACCGTGACATGAGATAAATATTTTGCTAATTTAATAAAGGGTATGTAAGTATGTAATTAGTGCGTTATTGACAAATTTTCGTTAAATCTCCCGCGGCCTGTCACATTTGAATCTTGATAACCCGAATGTTACGGGATCGCGAATTCGGCAGTCTGTTCTTTCTCAAAGTTTGAATGAATGATAACTCACTGTTACTCACATAAATATCAGTTCCAATATCATCAAGCAGAAGCTAATATATTTAAACATTGTCTAAAGCAATATTTTTTAAATTGCATTGATTTAAATTCAACTAATTCCAGAGCTAAGACATCATCGGTACTGCGGTTTATCGTTTTTTGGAGTTTTATATATATTATGTTTTTTAAATTTTGACTGTGAATGATTTTATATGATTTTCTGTAGCCGGACCAGAGTGGAAGTGACGTAACTATTATTCCCATAACACACCATTGCAAAAGTACCCGGATGACGATGTGGCTTTCGCTGATCTATGTTTCCAAAGGAGTGCTTATGGTAAATTTGTATTTAGTCACAGATACTTGTGGGCGGCTGACTGCTGTCAGTCAAAACATTTTCTTTTCAACGGCATATATAATCTGTATAATAGTTTACGTTATGAGCCGCCGTGAGAGTGAATATCAATAAACAAAAACACTTGGACTACCGTTCAATACGTCCGCTCATAATTTGTCTTTATGTCGATGAAAAGAAAATGTTTACGCAATGCCCGGGATCTAGAGCGATTGTCGGTCATTAATGTGATTCCAGTTACTTCACAGTCTCTCCTGGGGATAATGCACATGAAATGTGTTTAAAAAGGGGTCGTTCACCCCTGCACTTCCCGGGGAACAGTGATCCCTATTAAACGATATCGACGGTTAACTGTTTTAATTAACTCTGTATTCGCAACATATCGAACTCGCCTTTTCTCAGTTGATGCCTGGCGAGGAATATTTGATTGCCTGAGAGTGTTTGAGTGCTATACCCACAAATCATTCGATAAGAGTCGTAAATTACTGTAAACGTTACGTTACGCTGTTAAGCATTTGGAAGGGGTGGTTACAAACATTACGTGGAGACTCCTCGGAAATCAGTATACCCTTTCAACTATCATGTTATTTTCTTTTTAAAATATTCTTTCCCATATAACATCGATAACAAAATCATAGGACATCGTAACCACGAGCGTTGACTGGGCGGTTTATGCGTTCCCATAGCACTATGTATCACTTTAACAGGTTGTCCGGGCGTTTTGATACGGTCAAGTGGACTGGGTTTATATCACGCCATCATCCCGGTTGACCACGCTTAGAAATGTTTTTCTCAAACTAATTTTGCACGCTGATAGGCCCTTTCTCAAACCTAGAAGTCCCAATAAGTGTATCCCTACATGACCCGCCCGTTTTGTTTACCAAATGGGGATAGACGAACCTCGTTGAAAAAAAGTCTTTATTATAATACAAGTTATTATGTATTTTTTTTCTCTGTATACCTGCTGTAGGTGTTCGGTTGCTTCTTAGCTTGGGAAACTCGACAAGTCAGTATTCCTGCGCTAAACGACAGTAAATACATCGGTATGAGCGTATACAACGTTGTTGTCATGTGTACCGTTGGGGTCGCTCTATCGTTCTTCATACCAGATTCACCGAGTGCGTCGTTTGGTCTCTTATCACTGTTCATATTATTTTCAACGACCGTGACGCTTTGCCTTGTGTTTGTTCCTAAGGTAAGTTCGACTGGAGGGCACATTTTACAATGTAATGAGAGGTGTGTGATTGCGAGTAACTGGATAGCGGTCGTTCGTACCCGAAGCCATCGTATTCAATCGATAATGAATGGAGTGTGTCACTGAGACCGGCACGATGTATTCTGCTGCATCCGCACATACTAGTATACTTAGATTAAATAAATTTTAATTTGTTGTCACGGTTACAGTGACTCGCAAGAAGAATTCAATAATGCAATCTCCTGATTGTATGTGATATACTACGAAAGATGACAACCAATTGTCAATAGGTAAATTTGTTCTGTGCTCAGAAAAAAAAACTTTGCGGCAATCACAATACTACGTACTTGGTCACTTGTATAATAATTACCAGGTGTAAAAATATCTTCGAAAGTAAAACAGAGGAAATGTAATTATTTTGTTGTCTTTTTTGTTTCACTTATTGGTGAAGATATTACAATTGCGGAAAGATCCGAAAGGTGAAGATAGGAAAATCCGATGTACGTCACAGAAAGGCAACTTCAAGACCAACTCCAGTATAATCAAACTACAACAAATGCAAACAGAAAATATTGAACTGAACCGAATACTAGCAGAGGTAGGACGTGGGGGCGGTAATACAGAGAGTGTTAAACACGTACCATTCGTACTGTTTATGGCTAAGTAAAGTATGAGACAAAAAAATAAAACGAACACAACAAAATGACATGCCTGTCTAGTATGCTAATTTGTATGGTTATACTCACAAAATTGACTACTTTTTTGTAAAATCACTCACGCTAATCACAGCAACGATTCTTATTTCAATCATGGTTAGCATGCATACGTTAACGGTCTTTTTATTGCCATTAATTGCAATATATTTTACCGACAATCGCACCACGGAAAAAAAAACAGTATAATGCACGGCGCTGATTATTTTATTTTTTCTTTCCGGAAACCATGTTTCACCATGATGCCCGCAGAAAGATTGTGAAATTGCCATTCTACTCAAAGAACTTAAAATGAAAATGCCATTGGTTTTTAAGAAACTCGTAGAAGGCGATGCGGCAACGGTAGAGGTCCAACCACACGGTAATTGTAATACCTTATTCTGTTAGTCAGTGTGAATTACAGAAATTACCATGATTATGATAGCACTTATTCTACAACCGAGAACTGTGTACATATTACGATGTTGAAGATGACATCAGTCACTCGAAAAAGCCTCCAAGATATGTGTATTTACAGAAGGGTGAAAGCTTCTCTCGAAAATTGAACCTCATTTTTGTTTTTGTTTTTCGCTATACAGGCACGTCGAATTCAAATCAACTAGATTGCGACTATGGGGGAGTGTACTTAAGCGTTCCTTTGTCCAATCATATTGGCTTACCGACGTTTTCTGTGGGTGAATTCGACTCTAATGTCGATAAATCTGCTCTCTTGCAAGAATGTGATGGCGACAATTGCCTCAGTAGTCCGTCCACGCAACATTTATGCGAATGCCCTTTGCTGGATCAAACACGTTTTTTGGAAGAAATACTTCCTATTTTAGGATCATTGCGTGAAACTGCGATATTATCAGACTCAGACGACAGTCAACTTAGCCTTGGTGAAGGTAAGGAATGGACGAGTATTTCGTCCGCGGTTGACAATTGCTATGACAATGGATGGATCATGACAAGTAATTCTAACTTTAATATGATCATCTGTATACGTTGAAGCACAAATGTTTGGTACATTGTACATTTATATACAACCGTTTACAAAAAAA